GTAGGAGTGCTATACTGGTGGAGTGCTTATCTTAAGTTGTAAGATTTGTGAGTCTCAGCCTGCCCAGCTACCCAACAAAGCCTTTTACTTATTCAATATCAGGCAAAGTGGCTGCTTTGACTCATGTTGCAATGTGGCCCACTTAACTATATTTGAATTTCATTTAAAAAACAGCCCTGGCTTCAACCTTTCCATGTCCCTAACCTCCCCTAAAAGCCTGTCAAAGTCTGTTAGTTAATTCTTTTCCAATTATAATTTCAGAACTATAATGATCCAGTAGTTGATGCTCTAAGTCCCAATAGTCCTTCCTAGTCCAAAGGTCCTGATGCAATGGAGACTGATACTTTAGCAATAATCACTGCCTCGGTTGCCCCTAGGGTGGTTGCATAAGCAGTTCATGGCCTCATACAGCTAAGAACACCTGTAAAGATAACCAAGACTGTCATCACTTGAGCAAAAATAAATTAGAAAGGAACACTCTCATCCTCTGCTTAAATGAGGTTCCAATGGATTGTTTCTTTCGTCTTCTAGTAAGAATGACCCTCATAGGGGATATTATCCATTCATTCCTTCATTTGGTCATGGAATGCATGCTTCCTTGGCTCCCATGTCTGAGTGGAATTAGGGTAGATATATCAGGAAGAGGACAGTGAAGAGCAGACATTGCCACAGCCATTAGAGAACTTCAGCTAATTGGAGAAAAATATATAATTAAATAAGTCTGAACAGTGTTTCCCTGCACTGGCCTCTTTCAGAAGAGACATGAACACTGAATGTCACAGTGGTGCTGGATGATGAAAAGAACCAAGAGCCTGAGATACAGACCATGGGATATAGCAGAATGGGTAGGGAGAGGTTACATCTTCAAAAGCAGTATTAAGGATTTGAGGTTCACTCTAAGGACCAGGGGAACCTCCAGCAGAGGCCTTGGCAGCAGGTGACCTACGAAGATTAGAAGGCAGTGAGACTCAGAAAAGCAGTTGAGGAGGCCATCAGAGTCACCAGAGCGAGACAATAGCCACACAGACTTGTGGCTGCAGAATGGGGAGAAGTGATGGATGACGGTGAGTAAGAAGACAGAGATGGGAATGTCGGCAGGTATAAGCTGGGTCAAACAGTGGTACAGTTGACAGAATTATGGAGGCCTGCAGGGAAACGAGTGGTAAGGAAAGACAAGAGTTCACTTTTAAGTGTACTGACTCTGAAAAATCCTCAAGCTAAGATCCTCACTGAGCAAAAATCCTCAGTGAAATGAAGTATAGCCAGACGAGGTGGTGAACACCTGTAATTCCAGCACTTGGGGGTATGAAGCAGGAGGACTGCCAAGAGTTTGAGGCCAGACTGGGCTACATATTGAGTTCAAGGCCAGGCTGGACTATATAGTGAGGCCCTGTCTCAAAAAAAACCCAATAAATAAACAAATAAACAAATAAAATGAAGTATAAAAACCTTATATTCATCACAGTAGATGCAAAAGGGCCTTTCATGAAAATCAACATCCATTCATGATAAAAACTCCTAACAAATATGACACAGAAGGAATGGTCCTCAACATAACGAAGACCATATACGACAAGCCCACCTTCATTGTACACAATGGTGAAAAGTTAAAAGCTTTTCCTCTAAGATCATGAACAAGACAAAGATGCAGTGAGAAGAGACAAGGCAATTATGAACAAAAAACCATAAACCTGGAGGCATCATACTACTTGATTTCAAATTATATTATAAAACTATAGTAATCAAAACATCATGATATTGACACAAAAATAGACATATAGAGCAGTAGAACAGAATAGGGAGTCAAGAAATTAATCCAAGTGTGTATGGTCAACTAATCTTTGATAAAGTGCCAAGAACAAGTGAAGGATACTTTTGTAATTAAAAGGTGTTGGGAAAATACGTATCTACATGAAAAAGAAAGAAACTGGATCCTTAACATAGCATACACAGCCCAGGGATTTAGCTCAGTGGTTCTGCTGCCTGCCTTACAAGCGCAATGACCCAAGTTTGATCGCCAGTACCAAAAAACAAAAACAAAAACAAACAAACAAAAAACATAGCAGACACAAAACCCAACTAAAAATTGATTTAAAAATGAACACAAAAAAATCAGAACCATGAAAATACTAGATGGAAATATAAGAGCTAAGTCCCTTGACATTAGCTGTGGCAACTCAGTTTTTAGATATAACATCAAAAGCACAGGCAAAAAAAGTAAATAAACAAACAAGTGGGACTATATCAAGCTATATACCAGAACAACATAATGAAAAGGTAACCTGTGGTGTGGGAGAAAATACTTGCAAACCGTATTCTCTATAGGGTGAAAATATTCAAATAAATAAGAAGTCAACTCATCACCATCATCAACAACAAGCTAATTAGCCTAATTACAAAATGAGCAAAACACTTGAACAGATAGCTTTCCAGGGAAGACATACAAATGGGTGACAAGTACAGTATATGAAAAGGTTTTCAAAAATCACAAATCAAAGAAATGTGAGTTCAAACCACAGTGAGAGTCCGCCTCATATGTGTTAGGATGGCTAGGAAAAAGACAAGAAACAAGTGATGGTGAGGATGTGGAAGAAAGGAACCCACGTACTGTGGCGGCGGGGGGGAGGACTGTAAACTGGTACAGTTGTATTGAAAATACTACGAAGGCTCCTCAAAAAATTAAAAATATAACTACCATATGATCCATCAATCCCACTGCTAGGCATATTCTGAAGGAAATGAAATCAACATGTTGAAGAGACATCTACAGTAGCTAAGAAATGAAAAACAACTTCAGTGTCCACTGATGAATGAATGGATTAAGAAAATGTGATTAAGTACATGATGGAACACTATCCAGTGGTAAAACAGAACGAAACCGTGCCATTTGTGACAGCATGGAAGGAGCTGGAGACATTATGCTAAGTGAAATTATCCTGGCACAGGAAGACAAATATGTGTGATCTCATTTGTATGTGAAACTTAAAGCAGAGAGTAATGTCAGAGATGGGTAAGGGAAATGGGGATGTCTTGTTTAATGAGTACGTTTTAGTTTTAAGATAAATTCAGAAGATACATTATTCAACATGGTGAATATAGGTAATAATACTGTATTATATACTTCAAATGTGCTGAGAGTAGACCTTAATATTCTTGATAGTAGTAATCATTTCACCGTGTATCCATATATCACTAGACTAGTTAGGTGTACACCTTGAATACAGATTTTTTGATGGTGCTGTGGACAGAAACTGGGGCCTTGAAGGCAAGCAGTCTACCACTGAGCTACATCTCCAGCCTTGAATATGTACAACGTTTGTCAATTATAATTCAGTAGAGCTAGGGAAAAAATTTGAGGAGGGAGGTGGTCACTGGGGATTGGAACCAGAGCCTTGTTTTCTTAGTCAATTTCCTTGTCACTCAACACCCACAATTTAAAGAAGAGGATTATTTTGGCTCATGTTTCAGTCCATGGTCAGCTGGCCCAAGGACAGCTAAGAAAAGCAGTTCACAGCAGAGCAGTGAGGAAGCAGAGAGAGTAAAGAGCTGGGAAGGGGGATAAACCCTTCCAAGCCACTCCCCCAGTGACCCGCCTCCTTGGACCAGACCCCACCTACTAACAGCAAGTAAGCTACAAACTGCCATAATCCAATTATCTTCCTAAAGTCCCACTTATTATTGCATGAAGCTTCAGGGAGGACACTTAGATATAAACCATAACACTTATGCATGCTAGAAAAGTATTCTACCACTGGGCTACATCCTTAGTTCTTTCTAAAACTTTATTTTGAGATAGGATCTCATTAAGTTGCCCAGGCTGGCCTTGAACTTAGGATCCTCCTACCTCAGTGTCCCAAGTAACTGGGATTACAGGTGTGTGTCACTGTATGAAGTTAGGAAAAAATTTAAGGCAAAAGAAAAGAGAGCCCTAAAAATATCTATAGACACTGGTTTAAATAGATAGGTAGATGCTCAGATGGGTAGATAGATGAACAGACAGGAAGGCAGTCTCTGCAACATATAAGTGGAAATGTCCAGGAAGTGCCACCAGATATACCCCAGAATCAACCAGAAGTCTGGGAATGAAAGACAGATCCAAAGTTGTCCTGTCACTTTGGAAAGTAATCAGGACCAGAGGGAGCAGACAGTGCAGTGAACCAGAGGAAGCAGGCCAGTGCAGTGAACTTGAAGAGATGGGCAGAGGCAAGCAATTTGGAAGAAGGAACCTGAACATTAGCAGCCACACAGGGTGGATTCTACGGGGAGGCAGAGCTGCAGGTTCGTATGCCTCCTCCCTGCTATTCAGTGTGCTCCAAGAACGCGGTGCTGAGGCTGTTGCCTGCTGCTAGGTGGTCTCATTCTATTTTATAAAATAACCTTTGGCAAGAAATGCCTTTTCATCTCTATTTCCCCATCCCATGCCTTAACTGTGATGATTTGTTTCACCAAAAACACTGACCTTCTAAAATAAAAAATGAAGCTAAAGTCTTATGCTTCTGTCAATCTAAGATAACTGAAAGCCTGAGGCTTAACAGAGCAACAAAGTGGTGACTTGAAGACACTTCCTCTTGATACGACTGTGCTCATATTTATTTTCAAGTCAAATTCCCGAAACAGCTTGTCCTAAGCACTGCTGTCACAATGGTTGCTGCTCTGTGCTGGGAGTTTACACAGTGTCGATGCCCCAGAAGCCACAAGCGACATGGATCTGTTCTTCATTACAATAATCTCATCCAAAAGACAACAAAAATGCAGTTACTAACTCTTATTTTTTTAGGATCTTTGTGTTTACCACATAATTTTGACAAACTTCAGGTTAAGAAAGGTAAACACAGATATACAATAGTCCTCAATTATGGGGTGACTACTGACTTCAAATTGAAACAATCACAATGATTTCTGAAGAAACTTAAGTTTTCTTAATGTACTTAGAAGCTGCCTTTCCAGGCAGCTGCTTAATAAGTGGAATCATAAGGTGTTTCTTTTGACTGAGGGGCTCTGTCAAAGACTTACTGAGACACTAGTATGCCATAATGGGAAAAGAAAGCTAAACTCACCTGCAGCTAATCAGTCTGGAAAGTCTTCCATTCCCAAAGGCCCTCCTTACTTGGAGCACTACCTGATCAACAGGAGAGATAGGAAGAGGAAGGGGAAGGGCTAAGACTCAAGCTCTATGAACATTTGCTCACTGGAATTCTAGCAGTACTAGGAGATGATGAAATTATACACTTGAAGTTCCAAGTTTCTCAGGCACACTCCATATTCTATATTTGATTCCACAATTGTGCAATCTGAAATTGGAACCCCTTTGCATTGAACCAGTAGGAACATGGAACATAAGGTCATTCAGCCTGGTAGACAATGAATGTTCTTCCTAGTTTCCTCACCATTCTGGGAGGCCACCAGGTTCTTGATTCTAAACACATTCTGCGACCTTGAGCATTATGTGATGTTAATTGCCTACCTCCCACCTGCTGACAAAAGAATTTCAGACTCAAATGGTTGTGGCAATTGTGACAAGAACAAAGGATGTCACCGTCCTGCTGAAAGTTCTTCCACAGCTCCTGACCTGGCAGTGCTGATCAAATTTTTCCTCCAAATGACTCCTTACAACAATGGACTTTATATACAGATAGAGATGGATGGATAGATTGAGACAGAGACAGATAGGTCGACAGAAGGAGCCTTCTGAAGGAGCCCTCTCCTTATTCTGAGGTTTTGTTTTCCATAGTTTCAGTGTCTGTGGTCAATCAGACAGCAAAAATAATATGCATTTACTTTCCCTCTTTGCAACTGCATGGATATAAGATTCATTCTTCCCATATAGTTTGTCAGCCTCAGCATATAATTTTTTGTTTGTTTCCTTATTAAGTCAAGAACTGTGACTTTTTTCACTGAAAGCTCCTCTGGCATAACTGAACTGCCAGCATAGTACTCTTGTGCTTTGGGGCTTTGGAAGTAAAGCAGGCTTACTGCTTACTGCTACAGTGATATAGCAACACGGTGTCTGATAACCAATACCACTGCTAAGACACTTGGAGAGAAAGAGTTTATCTTATAACATTTATTATTATAGCACACTGTTATAATCCTTCTGTGCTATTAATAGCTCTTGTTTATCTCTTATAGTGCTTAATTTATAAATTAACTTTTCCATAGGTGTATACAGATAGGAAAAAAACACAGGGTGTATTGGATCTGACACTATCCACAATTTTAGGCATTCACTGGAGCTGCCTGAAGATAAGGGGGAAAGGCTGCTGTACTCTACTATCATACTCATTTCACAGAGGCAAACATCTGAAGGTAAGTCCTAAAGTTACACAGCAGAAAGTGACAGAGCTGACACTTGTACCAGGCAACTGCTTTTCCCTTAACCAGATGGCTTAGCGTTACAAACCAGCTCACATCCAAGGCCACAGGCTGAAAGGAGGTGATTTCCTCAAAGTTCTTGATTTGTCTTTATAAGTCACAGAGACTTTTTTTCATAAAATTTAATTTATCGCACCCATTTAGGATGGTACAAAGGAGGAGGAGAGGGAGAAGGAGGAGGAGGATGAAAAAGAAGAGGAGGAAGAAGAGAAAAAGGAGGAAGGCAGGGAGGAAAACAAATGTTGGGGAAGATGTGGAGCAACTGGAACTCTTGCATACCGTTGGAATGCAAAATGGTGCAGTTGCTGGAGAAAACAGAATGGCATTTCCTCAAAAAGTTAAAGAGAATGACTGTTTGCACTAGCAATTCCACTGGTAGGTGTGTACCCAAAAAGTCTCAAAGCAGAGCCTGGAACAGATACGTGTATACTCATGTTCATAGCAGTATTACTGACAACAGCCAAGAAGTAGAAAAAACCCAAATGAATGTTTATGTATGAATGGGTAAATGAAATGTTGTGAACTGAATGCCAATAAATTGCATGCATATAATAGAATATTATTCAGCCTTAAAAAAAAGTAAAGAAATTTTGAAATATGTCATAGCAAAGATGAACTTTAAGGACATTATGCTGGGTGAAATAAGCTAGCCACAAAAGAAAAGCTCCTGAAAGATTCCACTCATAGGAGGTATATAGGAGTAGTTAATTTGTAGCAACAAAAAATAGAATAGTGGGTACTAAAACCTGGGGGGAGGAGAAAATGGACACTTGTGGTTTAATGGGTAGAGAGATTTTTTGAGAAAATGAGAAAGTTCTTGGAGATGAATGGAGGTGATGGTTACAGAACAATGTGCATATTGTGAACTGAGTGCCAATGAATTGCAGGAAAAAAAATGATTAACATGGCAAATTTTGTTGTATACACGTTACTACACTGAAAAAGCTGTGGCAAAAAACCCACTTAAAAGTAATTATTTTAGAGCCTAAAATTGTGGTGTACTCCTGTAATCCTTGCCATTTGCAGAAGGATCATAAATTCAAGCTCAGGCTGTGTAACTTGGCAAAACCCTATCCTGAAAGAGGGGGTCCTGGGGATGTGGCTCGAGTGCAAAGGCTGTGGATTCAGTCCTCAATACTGCAAAACAAAATTTTAAGTATTTACCAGTTAAATTGCTTAAGTACTTGAAAATAATATTTGATTCAAGGAGACTCATGATTATCTTGTACTTTCAAATAGCTCTGAACACAATGTTTCCTTAGATTTTTTCAACAGTTAAACAGGGAAGGTTAACAAACAAATCTTGGAAAGCATTAAATAGTACTATTCACCGACAGTGTCTGACATTCATAGCTCTGGCTGTCATTAAGTACAAGACCCTGGAATCTGCTTCCTGCCTTCTCTCCTGACAGCAACCCTGAGCAACTTCAATTTCCTATGAGCTTCAGTACAGAACCTTTCAGAAAGTGGAATTCTTCAATGGCTTCCTGACACAACTCCTGCATTAATCTACGATGCTTATCATAGTTCATGGAACACATGCTTCATGATACAAATAAAGTCATGCTTCTGCATGATTGATGAACTTTCAACTAGAAAGAGACTCCTTAAACACAGGACTTGTCTTAGTTATCCCTAGCCACAGTGTGTGTGTGTGTGTGTGTGTGTGTATGTGTGTGCGTGTGTGTGTGTATACATATATTTCACAGGGACTGGCAGCTCAATAAGTATTTGGTGGAACTCTCTGTGCCTCTTTTTAAACATTAGGTGTGGGTGCCTACAATGTCAACTCATCCTTCTGTGAGAGAAGTTATAAAAATTCTTCCTGGTATAGGGGTGTGGCTCAGGAGTGGAGCCCTTGCCTAACATGCACAAGGCCCTGGGTTCTGTACCCAGCACTGGAAAAACAAAGCAAACAAAAAACACTGCTCATAAATTATCTGTAGTTCATAATATATTTTAAAAATGAGTATCCAACTTCTTCTCCCACATATCAGCCAAGAAAAATAAGAGACATAAACTGAGAATTGAAGGATACAATGAATGTAGGCCCTACTTCTTGCCTTCAGGAGTCAGCCATGAAAGATGGCAACACTCACACTACCGATGTCACACCTGCCTTCACATACTCATGTCACTGCTCATCTAGACACAGCAGAGAGGACACTTGTCAAATCCTCAACAGCAAAGTTTAAGAAAACACTGCAAAGGGCCACAAGCCTTCTGTTCCTTTTTCTGACTCAGCACTTGATAGACTAGCCAGTCACCAAACACCATGAAATGTGGCCAGCACCTCAGAGTCTTCCTTGTGTGGAATTAAGAGATATGAAAAAAAGTTGAGGTGCTATGTTACCAGCATGACTGCCTTGACACTAAGTTATTTCACATCTTCTATAGAAAGGTCAATTCAGATTTTTTGGGAGGTGACACTGAGAAAGAGGTGACTGTAAGGCAATTCCAAGATAAACATCAGAAATCTTGATAATAAAACTGCCACCATAAGTTCAGGAGCTGTGTATCATTCTCTAAGTTGTATTTTACAATTGCCTTATCAACTACTCTACCCCTAAATGGGGTGAGCAAATAAAATGCTTCAAGTTTATGTCATGTTTATTTCACAAAATTAGTGGTGTACATCACATTATTCTAATCTCCTGGGAGTGCTCTGCTGCTTTTACTTAGTGGAAATTTCTTACCTCAAATAATAAGAAATAGAAAAAGACACAACGAACAAAAGAACTCTGGTTAAATGCACCAGTTCTCACTTTTTCTTCTACCTCTGTCTTCAGAATACCAGATCTATTGCCTATTATTTTGCAAGTTTCCATCCTCCTACTCCTTTCAGCTTTTAAACCCCAATTTTAATTTTCTCCCCAAATTTACACACACAAAACAAAGTCACAAGAGCTTTCTAATTTTGTACCTTAAAGTTCAAGTGAAGGTAAAAATCAGTTAGAACAGAAGTCTCTGACTACAGCCAGTGCTAGGTGCCTCACTTGCTGCTGGTGTGGACTAAAAGGCCCCAGCTTCAAGCCCGGCAAGGCTTAAGAATGGGCCATTCACTGCACGACCAACTGCTATGATGAGGGCAAGACACTTCCCTTAGCAGTTCTACACATAGAAAAGGGCTTTGGTACTCAGGGAAGAGCAAAACTCTCCTATGGAATGAGATGATTCATGTTCTTCTGAACTTGAATCCAGGAAATTACAAAACAAACTCATAAACGCACAACCAAAGGATACTCTATTAATTTTTAACTCCAAGGATGCAGGAGTCAGTGATGGTAGAGCCACTTATTTCACATGTGTAACTACAATTACTACAACACAGATGAACTTCAGAAGTATTCTGTTAGTGATCACACCAAGAAGACCAAACTCTGCATGATTCTGTCAACATACTGTGATGTCCAGAAAAGGCAAATCCATAGATACAGAGAACCAACCAGTGGACTGTGGGACTAGAGGAGGAAAGAGGAAGGGACTAAATTGGTGTCATGTCTTTGGGAAGGACAATGGAAATGTTCTAAAATTAGAACACAGGGATGGCTGCACAGCTCTGTAAATCTACTAAAATCACTGAATTGTATAGAGTGACCATATTTTATGTTATGTAAATGATATCTCAGTAAATCTGTTAAAATTAAAAACTAAATCTTAATCATAATTACCTTATTAACAGTCTAATAAGCATTATGAAGAAGATTTAGACAGTAAGTTATATGATTCAAGAAAAAGCACATTTTTAAAGACACAAGTAATAGATTTCAGTCGCAAGACTTACAATATAGTATTTCCGAAATCCACATCTGTGATATTATTTTATATATACAAGGTGTGATTGAAATATACAGGGAGGCCAAGGAGCAGGGCCACCCCCAGTGCCCAGGAGGAGGTAAGCCTTCCGGGACGCCGTGCCACCACCCCCAGTGCCGAGGAGGTGAGCGACTCAGGCACCAGCACCACACACACACACACACACACACACACACACACACAACCTATGAAATGAGAAGACACTTAAACAGATCTCAAAACCAGACTTTCAGATCACCTAAAGCAACCCCAAAGGGAAACAAGATGCAATAATCTGATACTCAACCACCTGTACTCCTGAACTGGCAACAAAAGGATCTGGAAAAAATGAAATCAGAAATGATTTCTCAGATAACAGCAGAGATTGTGCCCATAGTGCAAGACATGATTAATAAATCTAGAGAGGACACAGATAAAAAAAGAGAAGCTGAGGAACATGATGGAATACCAACATAGGAAACAAATGGAATCCATAAAACAGATTCAAACAGATTTGCAGGAGATTAAAATCTCCATTGAAAGTTTACACAGCAGAATGAACCAATGTGAGGACAGAATTTCAGATATAGAAGATAAGATTGCAATTAGTGACCAAGAAAAGAAAAATTGCTTTAAAATAGTAGGAACCATGAGAAATCAATCCAGCAGATGGTAGAAAATGCAAAGAAGAATAACATAAGACTGATTAGGGGTCAATGAAGAAAGAGGAGAGAGTGAAGACAACATAAAAAAAACTATCCACAGAAATGATGGCAGAAAATTTCCCAAGTAGGGGAAAAGAATTTGACATACAGATAAGTGAGGCATATAGGGCTCCAACTGGCCTTGATCAAAAAAAACTACACATACACATATAATACTTAAAATTCCAGAAACCCAACAGAAGAAGAAAATTCTACAAGCAGTCAGAGAAAAGAAACAAATCACATACAAAGGAAAGCCCATCAGAATCACAGCAGACTTCTCAACACAAACTCTTAAAGCAAGAAGAGCTTGCACTGCTGTATTTCAAGCCCTAAAGGAAAACAGCTTCCAACCCATATTGATGTACCCTGCAAAACTATCTTTCAAAACTGATTCAGAAATAAGATACTTTCATGACAAAGAGCACCTTAGGAACTCCATGAATACCAAACCAGCACTTCAAAAAATTTTAGACAATATGCTAGGAAAAGACAATGAGGATCACAACCCCAGGAAACCCAGCAGAATGAATCCATTGGGTATGACAAGAAATTAAACGTAAAGGGTGAGAATCCAACAAAAAGAAAAAGTCATGACAATGATAAGTCAATATGTATCAGTTATAACCATCAATGTTAACGGTCTCAATTCACTAATCAAAAGAAATAGACCGGCAGAATGGGTCAAGAAGCAAGATCGAATAATATGCTGCATACAAGAAATGCACTTAATTCAAAAAGAAACTCATAGACTGAAATTTAAAGGGTAGAAAACAACACTCCATGTGACAGGAACCCCCCCAAAAGCAAGAGTAACTATCCTCTTTGCAGATGAAGTGGATTTCAAACCAACACTGATTTAGAGAGACAAAGAAGGACACTACATCCTTGTAAAGGGAAGAATCCAAGAGGAAGAGACGACAATCATAAATATATATATGCCAAACACTTGTGCACCCAACTACATAAAACAAATACTAACGGACATGAAAAATCAAATAAGCACGAGTACAATAATAGTGGAGGACCTCAATACCCAACTGTGACAGATAGATCAACTAGACAAAATATAAATAACAAAATAGTAGAACTCAATCAAACTCTTGAATAAATGAACTTAACAGATGTTTACAGAGTATTCCACCCCACAAAATCAGAATACAAACTCTTTTCAGCTGCACATGGGTTGCTCTCCAAAATAGACCACATACTCATGCATAGAACATGTTTAAGTAAGTGTGAAGGAACTGAAGTTATCTCCTGTATATTATCAGACCATAGTACAATAAAATTGGAGATCAACAGCAAAAGAAACTGCAAGAATTTCATAAACACATGGAAATTGAACAACACACTTCTGAATAACCAATTGGTCACAGAGAAAATTAAAGAAGAAATCAGACAGTTCCTTCAATTAAATGACAATGACAATACAACATATCGCAATCTATGGGACACAATGAAAGCAGTCTCACAAGGGAAATTCATAGCAGTGAATACTCATATTAGGAAAACAGAGCGAGCCCGATTCAACAACTTGATGTTGAACCTCAAGCTTCTAGAAAGAGAAGAGTAGGACAAACCCAAAGCTCATACAAGGGTGGAAATTATAAAGATCAGGGCAGAAATCAATTCAATGGAGACTAAGAAAACAATACAAAAAATCAATGAAGCCAAGAGTTGGTTCTTCCAAAGAATAAACAAAATTGACAAACCCTTAGCCAACCTTATCAGAGAAAGGAAAGAAAAGGCCCAAAGCAATGCAATTATGAATGAAAAGGGTGAAATTACAATGGACCCAGCAGAAATCAAACGGATCATCAATACTTACTTTGAGAACCTACAGGCCAATAAGACAGAAAACACAGAAGAAATGGACAGATTCCTAGATATGTATGAATTACCAAAGGTGAATGAGGATGACTTAAAAATTCTAAACAACCCAATATCAATCAATGAAATTGAAAACATAATTAAAAACTTACCAACTAAAAAATTCCAGGTCCTGATGGCTTCACTGCCAAATTCTAAAAGACATTTGGATAGGAACTACTGCCACTGCTGTTTAACCTCTTCAATGAAATTGAAAGGGAAG